TCTCTCTCTCTCTCTCTCTCTCTCTCTCTCTCTCTCTCTCTCTCTCTACTCACTACCTGACTCACTCACTTACTCACTTACCAACCCACTCTCCCATCCAACGTAAATTTCCTACGATAAATTCCATTCCAGAACACCCATATCACTATTCGACCACACCCCCACCATCAACCCGCTCTCATCCGGAGAGCCCAGCCAGCCCTACCAGATTCCCTCGAACCCACCCAAACCACAATGACCGATTCTATCAACAACAACACGCCCGGAGTAGGGGATGATGTCCTGCGCACCCCCTCCCCGCTACCCCCGGCCCCAATGCAAGACTACACGTTCCCCGAACACCGCTTGAAGCGCCGAATGGACGACCCGGAGAAGACCCCATTGCTGCTGGTCGCCTGTGGCTCCTTCTCCCCGATCACCTACCTGCACCTGCGCATGTTCGAGATGGCGGCCGACTACGTCAAATTCAGCACCGACTTTGAGATTGTGGGCGGGTATCTGTCGCCCGTGTCGGACGCCTATCGCAAGGCCGGATTGGCGAACGCTGAGCATCGGTATGTTCCATCCCCGGCGTCTCTGCTCAGACTCTCTTCCTCTCGAAACGTAATAAACACTAACAATACCACAAAAAAAGTGTGGCGATGTGCCAACTCGCCGTCGACCAGACCTCCGACTGGCTGATGGTCGACACCTGGGAACCCATGCAGAAGGAATACCAACCCACCGCCGTGGTCCTGGACCACTTCGACCACGAGATCAACACCGTCCGCCACGGAATCGAGGCCGGAGATGGCACGCGCAAGCCCATCCAGATCGCTCTGCTGGCCGGCGCAGATCTGGTGCACACCATGTCCACCCCGGGGGTTTGGAGCGAGAAGGATCTTGATCACATCCTTGGCAAATACGGCGTACGTCTTGGAAACCAAATCCCCAAGAAGAAGGATTCCCAGAACTAACATACAGCAAAACAGACCTTCATCGTCGAACGCAGCGGAACCGACATCGATGAAGCGCTCGCCGCCCTCCAGACCTGGAAGAAGAACATCCATGTCATCCAGCAACTCATCCAAAATGACGTCAGCAGCACCAAGATACGCCTCTTCCTACGCCGTGACATGAGCGTCCGCTACCTGATCCCCGTCCCCGTCATCCATTATATCGAACAACACAATCTCTACAAGGATGATGGAACTGCCGACAAGGGGAAGGGCCGGCAGGAGCCGGGTTCGTCGGGTTGATAGAAACCTTGTTCTTCCCTCCCCGCGCGCCCTGCCCCCCCCCCCTCCTCCCCGAGAGGGATTCAGTTAACTATAGTGTTCTTACGCCTTCCCCGACGCCCCATCCTATTATTCACCCAAGGGGTAAACAAGAACAGCGAAAGAGAAGTCGGAGAGCGCTACAATGGGACCTCAGACAAGGGGGCTTTCTTTTCCAGCAGACCGGGTTCTCTCCTCGCACCTCCATCCTCTCACCATTCTCGCAACACGATCCAGGATCCTTTGGTGGTGTAACTCATTGCTCCCGCTCATACTGTCACCTGTTATATTCCTCGCATGTTTCCCTTGACTTCTTCTGGATCCAACCTTCAAGAATACGGCCACGCGTTCTACCGCTCACCCCGACAAAGAGGGAAGGGAGACGCCATGACCACCCACTGTACAGTCCTCCGGGTCAGTGCTCCGCATGTATAGCATCCACTCAACTACTCCTCCTCTCCCCCGCTGGGAATGAGCTCCTCACCTGGTCGCAAAGAAATTCCCCCAAGTCAACTGTCCCTCTCTCTCGCTTGTTGATTCTCTCATGACACGTTTCGGAATGGGTCTATTTTTAATTCTTTTACAAAGGCGTCTCATGCACTGTTACGATTAATGCGTTGTGTTTCCTGCCCCCCTTTTGTCTGTTTTCCAAAGATACCATACATATCATAGATCACCACTTAATACCTTCAATCCCGCCCTTTCTCTTATTGGTATTCTTCACCATGCTGTAGTCTACACCTCCCACAGTCTAATACCATTTCCCCTGTGTTACGATGCTGAGCAAAAAAAAATGGGTACCAAGACTAGTTTTGTGATTCTTGGCAAGCCTGGGAAGTGGATCATGCATTATAGGTAATAGAAGGTTATATGGAAATATATGCAAGAAGGGGATTCTCGAATCATGAAAAAAGTATCGGCGGGAGATTTAGGATATCCAAAAGCCCCACCCCTTGGGTATAATAATAATGATGATGTGAGATAAGGAGATAAGAAGAAGCCACGCTAAAGACTGGGTCAAGTATGTAATATCACCAAAAACGGTCCCGACTGAACCAAGCTTCCTTTATGTGGAAAGATGCAAACCCGCCTGTCCCTCGGAGGGCAAAGCGAGGTGCCTGTAGACGTCTTGTTTGCATATGAGAAACATATTGACGAGAAGCTGAATCCCAGAGAAAAGACCAACGATCGTGGATGGAGTTCAAGATAAAGGCAAAAGCCACGAGAAAAGAGAACAACTTGCGAGAAGCGAAGAAGTTATAGAGGTTGAAGAAGATAAGCCAAAGGGAGGGAAAACGAGATCCAAGATTACATAAAATCCACGAATGCTCAAAAACGTCAGTCGTATACATCGTCGCCATATTTTGGCCCTGGCATGAGGACCGTTGCGGGCCCAAAGGCAAGGGGAAGAAGAGCTAGTCATCACAATCATTCCACAGATCCTCGGCCTCGATCACGCCCAGGCACTCGTTGTCGTGCATGACTGCGAGCACAACCACCGTCGTACTGGCGGTGGCATTGGCCTCGGACACCAGCCGGCGGGCGTCGTCGATGCTGCTCGAGCTGGGAATCTGAAGCCAGTCTTTGCGGGACACGCTAAAGGGAAGGCCCAGATCCACGAACGAGGACACATGCATATCCACATAATTGCTCTGAGAAAGGAAACGAAGGTGTCGCGGAGGAATGATCTCTGACGAGGACAAGAAGACCCATGATTTCGCATGGGGATGTTGGATAGCTGTAAGTAGGATATCTAAGAGACGGATCTTGCCTGATGCAGAGACCTTAGGGATCTGGTCGAGGGCAGTTGACGCATCCGCGACGCGTGGTTGTTGGCTTCCTTTGCGGTCCACTGGGGGGAACGAGACGATAGAGTCCTGCGTTGGGATGTAGTCGGACGGAGTAGAGGTGCTGGAGGCGGAGGACATGCTCATCGGGGTCAACGCCATCGAGGCAGCCCCAATCGCACCGCCCGGGTGGTAACCCTTGAACACCTCGGCCGGACCCCGCCCCGGAGCGGTATGCAGTCGTCGAGCCGTGGCGATAGCCAGCGCATCTCCCAGCGACAAGGCCACCGTGGTGGACGATGTCGGGGCACTCACACCAATGGAAGACTCCTCATCCTCGTGAATCGGGGCGGGTAGGAGGATCCCCATGTCCGAGGGTTGGAAGGACAAGAGAGGGCAGGTCGAAGGGTGCATGTGCGAAGTGATGGCAATCACTGGAACGGTTGACGGAATATGAGGCAGCAGAAGTAGAAGTTCGGGTGTACGCCCGGAAAAGGAAATCAATAAAAGGGTATCATGCTGGATCCCGACTCGAAGTTAGCCATCATCGTACCAGCTTCTGTGTGGAGAGAGGTTTTCGCCATGTCTTACCGGTCGAATCATGCCAAGGTCGCCGTGTAAGGCTTCCGTCGGATGCAAAAAAGCACTGTAGATTCCGAGACTGTTCATCGTGGCCTCCAGCTTCTGGGCGATTTTCCCGCTCTTGCCCACCCCGCAGCAGACCAGCTTTCCGCCATGTTTGATGGTGCGCGCGATCCGAGTCACTGCGCGCGCAAGGTGTTCCTGGGCCAGAGCATCGGTCTGATAAATGTGCTCCAAGTGCGCCAAGGCTGCCCGCTCGGTGGAGATAACCTGAATGGCATCAGATACAGCACCGGAGGTGACCTTAGAGGCAGCAAGAGCAATATCCGAGGTGTCCGGAGGGGTCATGGACAAGAAGTCATCGGTTGTGGCGGAAGGCATTGAGTGGGAGAGGGGCATGATGGCAGCGGCGGCGGCGGCGGGAGAGAGCGGGATGGGGGGGAACTGCTGCTTGATGAGATGCCCCATCATTGCGCTACCATTTCTTTCTCAAAGATACTAAGTAGGTAGGAAAGTCCAGGTTTAAGAGTGAAGGAAGACCGCGTCCTCTCCCAGGAAGAAGCCTGGGAAAAGAGAACCCGGACAAAAGCCAGGAGAGAAGAAAAGAGGGGAATTCGGAATCGAAGGTGGGGGGGAAAGAGAAAGTGTCCGCGCGAAGAGAGGGGAGGAAAGGTAGAAGACAAGGGAGAGGGAGAGGGAGAGAAAAATGCGGAGGGGCGAAAGAGGAACGGAACGGGAAGAAGGAAGAAAAAAGCCTAGAGTCTGGAATGCCTACTGTACTTTAACTTACTTCGTCTTTATGGATTATGGAAATACAGTACATTTGTACGGAGTAGATAACAACCCGGCCCGGAAGAGATACTACTGACTACTTTCTCACTTCTGCCAGGATCTTTCGGAGAGTCGGAGATTACCTACTGCCTGCTAACTAACTTTAGATTTTCTCGACGATAATCTCACTCTTACCCCCCGCCTCGATCAACCAGTCAATGGCTCCGATGAGGGCATTTCCTCCATCGGCTGGCGCCCCGATTCATCCGCTATCACACCATTGCCGCGGAAGTTGATGTCTTCTTCTTCTTCTTCTTCTTCTTCTTCTTCTTCTTCTCGTCGTTGTTGTGCACGGATCCGATCCCACCCTCCATCAACATTATTAATAATGTTAATAATGATACACTTGGCGACACTCAGTTTTGAGGAGCAGTTAGTCTTACTGATTTAATTTAGTTACAGTTACAGTAACATTTTTCCCACTTCCCCCCCCCCCCCCCCCCCCCCCCCCCCCCCCCCCCCCCCCCCCCCCCCCCTCCCCTCTCCCTACCACCACCACCACCACCACAACTCCTAATCCTAATTCAAAGGCTTAATCCCCTTGTGAATCGCCGCAATGCCCCCCGTAAGATTCTCGAACCCGCGTCCCGGAATCAAGAACCCAGCCTTCTGGATCATGCCCCGGAACTCCTCCTGGCTCGGGAACTGCTCAATACTCTCGACGAGGTACTGATAACTCTCGCGGTCGCCCGCGACCAGCTGGCCGATCAGGGGGATGGCACTGAAGCTCCACTGCTTGTAGACGGCATTGAACAGGGCGTTGTCGACCTTGCTGAACTCCATGCACGCGAAGACGCCGCCGGGCTTGAGCACGCGGAAGGCCTCGTTGAGCGCCGCCTGCTTGTCCGTGAAGTTGCGGATGCCGAACACCACCGTGTACAGGTCGACCGAGTTGCTGGGGATCGAGGGCATGCTCTGCGCGTTGCCCTCCAGGAAGGCCAGCCGGTTTGTGTTGTAGTAGGGGGTCTGGATGCTGCGCTTCTTGCCCTCCGCCAGCATGTCCGGGTTGATGTCGGCGATCGTCACCCGCGTCGCCGCGTCGTGGTTGATGTTGGTCGCGTGGTCCAGCATCCGGAACGCGATGTCGCCCGTGCCGCCCGCGATGTCCAGGATGTTCCAGCCGCGCCCGGCCGTGTCGTGGTCGCGCGACGGCAGCGCCGACCCCGGGTTCAGCGACCGCACGAAGTGGTCCTTCCACAGCCGGTGGATGCCCAGCGACATCATGTCGTTCATCACATCGTAGGACGAGGCCACCGAGCTGAACACGGTTTTCACTAGTGTACCCGGCATAGTTAGTATGGCGAGGCCTTGAGGAATAGACCATGGATCTGAGAGGAAAAATCTTACCCATAGATTCCTTCTGCGATTCGGGGACATTTTGGAAGCCGAAATGCGTGAATCGCTCCTCGTCGGCGGTCGGCTTGGGCGGTTGGGCCTGGGCTTGTCGTGTGCAGGAGAAACACCGGTAGGGAGTCTCGGGCACGGCCAATCGCCGTCTTGTCTGAGTCTGTAAGCTCCTCCAGAGAGATCGGGACGACATGATGGTGGTTAATGGGGTGTAATTATGAGCCGGGCTGGAGTAAAGGGAAGAAGATCGAGAGATCCGCCTTCCGGGGGCGGAATTCTACGATAACGTGATGCCTCAGGCAGGGGCTGTCATGCTGCCTCCTTCCGTCTCTTATCGGCAAGCACCACAACTTCTACAGTAGATCGACGCCCGAATGAATAGCAATGTTGCTGAAGCTGACAATTTCCTTTCCTACCGACACATTCACAGATATTGCATTTTTTACTGATATAGACTTCTCCGATTCCTCAAGATAGCTCGTTTCACTGCAAACCTCCCAGGCTATTACTCACACTATATCGTTAAGCATATATCCTATCTCCCAGCGCAGAAACAGTGGACCCAGTTCACATGAAAATCCACAACACTCTACCTACCCCCTAAAGAACCTCACAAGCACCCCCAACCGCACACCTAACCCTCAAATCCTCCTCCGCGACACTCTCCCCTACCCAAAAAAGCACCCCCTCCCCAGCAACAGGCACCCTCCAGTCCTGCACCGTGACATCCCAGACACTCAGATCCTTCCTCGTCACAGTCAACTTGACCACCTCACTCGCCCCGGGGGCCAGGGTCGCGGTCTTCGCAAACGCCCGGAGCTGTCTCTGCGGCGTATCGACGCCCAAGACCGCCTGCCCCGGTAACTGTACATACAGCTGCGCCACCGCCCTCCCACTCCGTTTGCCTGTGTTCGTGACCGTCACGTCGATCTCGAAGGCCGTCTCAAACAGCGCCGGGTTCCCGCCCTGCCCGCCCCCGGCGCGCGGGGCCGGGTGCGCCGTCGTGGAGTAGCCAGACGGGTACGCGTAGGTACTCGTGGAGTTAGTAACGCTCTCGGGGTCATCAAGGTACGGGTATAGGTAACGCCAGATCCGGTCCAGCGTGCTGGGCCATGCGACCTCGGATGGATCGGGGATGTTTGTGGGGTAGGTGGGGACGGAGGCCTTGCTGGCGCGTGCGGCCGGATATTCGCTGCTCAGGGCGGTCACGGTCGTCAGTGCGGGGGCGGAGTACTGGAAGGTTGTGTACGACAGGCCGTGGCCGAAGGGATAGCGGGGGGTGATGTTTGCTTTCAGGAAGTAGCGGTAGTCGATGTAGAGCCCCTCGTCAAACCAGTCCTGGATCTGGGAGAACAGAGGTTGCGAGGTGATGATGTCCGTGGAGGATGGGTAGTCGGACGCAGAGGCGGGAATGGTGTAGGGCAGGTGGCCGCTGGGGCTGGTATCGCCGTAGAGAACGTCGGTGAGCGAATAGCCGGCGGCTTGGCCGGGGAGGTGCGCAACAAGCACGGCTTTCACGCTGGGGAGGTCGATAAATGACTCGAGGAGGATCGGGCCGACGGTATGGATGACCACAACCACTGTGGTGAACTTGGATGCTGCGGCTTGGACGAGCGCGTCGCCGTTGTGCCATGCGTAGAGGCCGGCGTTGGTGCGGTCTCCCGGGTTGGACTCAACGGTGATGTAGTTCTCTCCCGAGTCGGCGTTGATGAAGACGACAGCGATGTCGGATGACGATGGCGTGGGGAGGTTGGAAGGGAAGGTGTCTGTGATGTAGAAGGTGGTTGTATTCGATGTGGAAACGTTGGCGATTGCTTCTTGCGGCGTCACGAGAGAGGGCAGGCGTGAGGTGCCACTTCCCCAGCCCATGGTCAGAACGCCCTGATCGCAGCCCATGTCACTGCAGGAGTTGAGACCTGATTTGTTCGGCCCAGCATCGGTACCAAACACCTTGAGAGAAGCATTACGTTTGAGGGGCAAGGTACCGTTGTCATTTTTGAGGAGGGTGATCGCGTCCCGAGCAATCGCGTGGGCCGTGACATTATGGTTGCCTTGCACGTCGACAAACTGATTGACAACTCCTGTTGGGGAGAATAAGGCACCGGGGTAGAGAGGACCCGTTTTGTCGAGGGTGTTGCTCGAAAAGTTGGGTAGAGGGTAATCCTGATCTTGACCCATTTGATACCAGGTCGCTACGATCCGAGTGACCTTGAGAGGGCTTAGCATGATTCCAGCAGCAGGATGGAAGATACCCCACCATATCATTGAGTCGGTCCAGCGGTACTGTTCCGTTGAGAATTGCGGTTGACAGCTCCGATCCCCAGAAGGCAGTCCCTAGCAAAGGAATCGCGCCGTCGCCAGGCATAGCCATGTCAAGCCCAGCTAAGGCAGAGGAGACACCCCCCTGCTGAGCCAGCCAGTCGGTCATGACAAAACCTTGAAAGCCCAGCTCATCCTTGAGGATGCCATTGATGAGCATGCTGTTCTGGCTGCACGCCGAACGATTCACCTGCGCTTGTCAGCCCAGAAGGCCCAAACCACCTTCATACCAACACTCACATTGTTGTATGCAGTCATCACCGACCCAACTCCTGCTCTAACACCCTCAGCAAAGGGCCAGAGATACAGCTCATGCAAAGCACGATCATCAATGTTCGACGAATAACCCGTGGTCAGCACCGAGGTCTCGCGATACATCTCCTGCTCATTCCCGATGTAATGCTTCAAGCAAGCAATGGCCCCAGTGCTTTGCATGCCCCGGATCGTCAACGCGCCTCCAACCGCCTGCAGCGTGGGGTCCGCTCCGAAGCCCTCCCACCCGCGCCCACCAAGCGGCTTCCTGAACATGGGCCCAACCACCGGACCTAGGAGAACATTCACACCCTTTCCACGAGCTTCCTGTCCCAGCTCCACACCACGCTGGTACATCAGGTCCTTATCCCAGGTGGCCCCGACAGTCACTCCAGGAGGGAAGGCGGTATTGTGATCCGAGTTTCGAATGCCGAGAGGCGAGTCCTGAAGACAGAGGTTTGGAATGCCAAAACGCAGTGCGCTTCCTGTTTGGCCGACACAAGGGCCCATGTACATTCCCGTGCCGGTAGTAAGGTTGACTTTCTCAGCAAGAGTCATGTTGCTCACCACGGCTTGAGCCTTTGCGTATGCCTCGCTCCACTCCGAGATCCAGCCTCCAGGAGGGGCTGGGTAATAGGGAGGTGAGTAGGCATCGGCGTCATCATCGCGGCGGTAATGCTCGGCCGCAAGGTATCCTGGAAGGAGAAGGGTTAGAACAGCGAGGTAATGCCAGATGGGGGTCATTTTCGGTGTCTTCGAACGAGAGAGACAGGGACAGAATCAGGAAAACCTTACTACATGCGTTGACGAGCCATGCAGTCTGTTAAAGATATAGCTCCCTGTCCTTTCTAGACCCAAGTCTAGTCAGGGGGCCCTCGATCACAAGGACATGGCCATGAAGGACATATGCAGCCTCTACACATTATGACATATGACAGACAACAGCCCACACCAATCAGATCTAGAGCATCGCTGTCGTTGGCTCGCGGCCTAGCTGATCATTGCTGGATAAATAAATGGTTCGAGGCCACCGAACAGGGACCTGCACGCATATCACTAGGGAACGGCGTGAGTCGACCGAGGCAATGAGGGTTCGTTGCTGAAAATAGCGCCAGTCCGCGCCAGACAAGGGATGAGGTCCGGTGGCTAATCAACGGGCCTTTTTTGTGGTGGCCAGAATGCGGGGGCGTTCAGCTGATGTACCTTCATCAAGAGAGGAATAGATGAATTGACAATCAAACTGATGAAACCTGCGCATGCATGACAGCCCGGAAATATAAATATATGAGGTTGCACTGCTTGTGATCTAGAGATACATTGGATTACGGCTGAAGAATGTCTTGTCGACAAAGTGTGCAGAAAGTGTAGTTACCGGTAGAGACAACGCAGCCTTTGTCAAAGACACAAGCGAATTATGATCCAACGAACCTGCAGAGTGACCAAGGTAGTCCAACGCTTGATGATGATCCTTATCTCGGATAGCCGACAGAGGAAGGCAGGCGAGGGTTGAGAAAGCGGAGGATCGACAGGGGAACGAACAGCAGGCAGCGTGCCTGGATCAATCAGCGAGCCCGGCCGGCTATTCTTACTCCATCCAACGCTTATCAGTGGCCTTCACCACCACTAAGCCAGTAGCTGCCAGTCAGTCAACCAAGTAGTCTCCCAATCGCAAGCCCACGATCTCTGCATCGATCCTCTTTAGCAAGGTCCGCGTCTCCGGAATTAGCCAACACTTTGCCCCTGAGCATCCGATCTTGTCGTGGACCAATTCCTTGCACCGGGACTCTTTCAACTCATTGACTGTCTTGAGCACCGCATTCAGGCTAAGTCCCTTGTATGGAGCCTGGGGTGGAGGGAACAAGTTGCGCGGCTTCAACTGGTGGATGAGTGTCCCGACCATCAGCTGATCGCAGTCGGAACAGCACGACTCATGATCGAGAAGATATTCCATGCGCTCGTACAAAGAGAAGACAATCTCTTCGATGCGGTATTGACGGGTTTTGTTGATGAGGTCTAATGGATTGCATAGGTTAGCCAGCCTGTTCGTCCCTGCATGAAGGGCAATGGATCATCCCAAACTAACTTATCAGGCCCGCGGGGATTCTTAGACCTTTCGTCCTTATTGGCTCCGTAGACTCCCTCAGTGCAATTTCCGTAACCAGGCGAAACAAGCCATGATGGCGAAAGGCCCATGCAATGAACATCCACTGGGATAGGTCATGCGAGCAAGACGTTGGAAAGCAGTTGTGGAGGTTCTCAAGCCAAGTCCTGGCAAAGGCCTCCACGGCTTCGAGGCAATCGTAGTGCTGGGTCAACTCCGCTATCATGCAAAGGAGGTTTAGGTTGATTTGGCGGGGCACTTGACGACTGCGGCAATGCAAGATGTTGAGGAGGATGTAAAGGGCGTCTAGGTCCGTAAGGTTGCAAGGCAGCAGGTCGGCCGGTTCTGCTCTGGTGTCTAGCTGTGAGAGCTCTTCCTGAAAGCGACGCGAGGCGAAGCAAAGGTGTTTTGACGAGACAAGGATTTGAATGCAGTGGTGGGTCTGGTCTGTAGGCCCGTCATTGTTGAGTTTTGGAAGATCTTCACTCGAGACTGTGTGAATGGATTCGTTGACAAGTGTTGATGTCGAGGAACCGAATTGAGAGGCTACAGTTTGCTGAGGCTCGGGCGTAAGATCGGATGTTGGAATCGAATGATCTAGAGGCAGTCCGTCTAGAATGAAAGATATGTTAGTTGTGAGAGGCAGAAGGGAGAGGAAGTTTCCACCATTTCTGACTAGGTTTGCATAGATCCGGCCTGCCTGTTGCCGCAGCACAAGCAGTACATCCCCATTAGGATCGATGACTTTGTAAGGGAACTCCATTGGGATCTGTATAGTGTTGCTCATAGTGGCAAAGTATTTTGATATGATTGAAAGCAAGGGATGAAAAGTAGATAGGAGATGATTCAAACTTATAGTAAACAAACTGCTGTTTGTGGTGCGTGATTCCTTAGCAACAACCCCCCCCCCTCACTGTTCACAGTGAATGGGTCCCTCACCACGAGCATACATCTAACCTGTTAGCATGTCATCTTTGTCAGTAGCCAAGAAACGTCTGATAATGAAAGCATCTTGAGGTCTATCATCATAAATTCATTCCTATAAATATCTATCTATCACTCATCAAGATCTAGTTGAAATAACCGGGGAAGAGCCAGTTCATGCGCTCACGAGCCTCCGGGCTCCAGTTGGGCTGAGCAGTGCTGAGCCCGAACTTGATGGAGCCCTCAACGTGCTTGGCCTGCACCAGCTCGGCGTGCTCGTCGGAAGCCAAGGCGTCCAGCACAGCTGTGACAAAGCGCTTGGCGTTCTCAGCGTTGGCCTTCATGTGGCCCATGACCATCTCCACGGTCACGTCCGCGGTCGACTCATGCCAGCAGTCATAGTCGGTGGACATGCAGATCATCTGGTAGGCGATCTCGGCCTCACGGGCCAGCTTGGCCTCAGGCAGGGCGGACATGTTGATGACGCTGCCACCGAAGGAGCGGTACATGTTGCTCTCGGCGCGGGTCGAGAATTGAGGGCCCTCTGCAGACAATTAGCTTCCGCAATTGAACTTTCCGGGATGCATACATACCCATGCAGATCAGGGTACCACGGTCGTGAAGAACGACTCCATCACCCTCCAAGCTGTGTCCGCAGGCTCTCACAACCTTGGCGACACCCTCGTCGAAGGGGTCGCCGAAAGGCACGTGGGCGACAACGCCGCCCTCGAAGAAAGTGAAGGGACGGATGCCCTTGGTGCGGTCAATGACCTGGTCGGGGATGACGAAATCGCGGGGCTTGATGGCCTCTTGCAAGCTGCCGACGGCGGAGAAGGCGATGATGGTGCGGACACCGATGGAGCGCAGAGCAGCGATGTTGGCGCGAGCGGGCACCTCATGGGGGGCGATCTGGTGGTGGGCGCCGTGGCGGCTGAGGAAGGCAATGGCAACGGTCTTGTTGTTATGGGAGCACTTGTGGTGCAGGATGGTGATGGGGGAAGAGGGGTCGCCCCAGGGAGTGCTGACGTTGAGGGAGGCGACCTGGGTAAAGCCAGGAAGTTCGCGCAAGCCGGTACCGCCGATGACGGCAATGCGGACGGGCTCTAGAGGTTGTCAGCGATTGTTTGCAGGTGTGATGGCCAGAGGAGGGGAATTACCGTCGTAGGTGGTGGGGAGGGCGGCCATTCTGCGGGCTAGTTGTTTGGGGGATTCGATGCGAGTGCGAGGTTTGGAGATGGAGGAGAAATGGCGCCAGAAAGTAGACAGCATACAAGGAAGAGAGTGGTTGTACAGGAGAAAGAGGAGGAGGAGGAGGAGAGGAGGAAGAGGGCAGAGGGACTGAGAGGCCTGAAATTCTCGGCGGGGTATTACTCCCAATCGGGAAACCGCGATCTTATCGGTCGGTGCCTGAGTGCCTGAACCTGTCCCGGAGCCTGAGAGTACCTGAGTGGTGCCTGGGGCAGAAACCGATGGACTATCACGTCATTGTGCGGTAGTTGGACTTTACGTAGCTTACTGAGGAGAGATGGACGGTGACATGGTACATTATCAGTTGTGCTCAGTACATGTATTACACGCTATCGTTATCATCCAGATCATTAAAATGCTCATCACTTAAGCAGGACGCCACTCATAGTGGTGGGCTCCCTTGGAAACTGGGCCTGGATCCTCGCCCTTGACTCCCGGCTTGTTGTATCCATGCGCACCAAAGAGGTCCATCTGGGCCTCCATGAACTTTGTCGGGAGCATGGTTCCTGCCTCATACTTGAGGTATTCCAACGTCGCCGAGAGAGCCGGCGTATAGTGGTCGGCTACTGTGGCCGCGAGCACCGTGTCTTTCAAGGCGTCGAAATGCTTGTGCAACTCTCGCGCCACTGCGTCCACGCATTTGACATTAGTGAGAGACTCGGTCATGGCTGGCTGCAGCAGGTCGGCAATCGCTTCAGATTGGATGATACAGCCGTTGCGCCAGATCTGGAGACACTTGCTCAGATCCACCTTCCAGCCCTCGTCCTTGGAGGCACGAGCGATCAGCTCCAGACCCTGACAGAACGAGGCCAGGAAGGCGCTGTATACCGCTCTGCGGATCTTCTCAATGCACGCCTTCTTGTCTTTGATGCCCTCGAGGGGTTTGGGCCGGGGAAGGTCCAGCTTCTTGGCGACCTCCAAGCGCTCTGCGCGGTTTCCACTGGCAATCCGTAGGAAATGCGCCGTAGCCAGCGTTGGGGCCGAAACGTGGCGGGCGGCCGACTCCATGACCGACCAGTAGGGGGTGCCTTCAGTGTCATCGTCATCCTGGACCACTTTGTCAAGGACATCATCGAGGACGAATCCGCCGTCTTTGCTGGCGCCTTCACCTTGCTTGTCCCCCTGAGGGGTCTTCTTCGTGCGGAGAATCTGGACGCCAATGTCCAGCAGGAAGTTATTTCGTAGCTCCCCTTCGGAATTCCACTGCTCAAAGATGTCCGCAATCTCCTCGTACTGGAGGCCGAGTCCGTAGTGCAGCAGCGACCAGGCCTCGGCAACGGTGGACAGCATGCCGCCTTCGATCCCGTTGTGGACCATCTTGACGAAATGACCCGACCCGGCTGGTCCCACGTTGGTGACACAGGGCTTCTTGGTCTTGGGATCTTTGGCGGCGTATTTCTCAAGAAGCGGGAGCACGAGGTTGATGGCGTCCGGGTCGCCGCCGGGGGATAAACTCGGGCCATGGCGGGCAGACTGGTACCCCCCGGAGACGCCCATGCCGATCCAGTGGATTCCGCGCTCAGCGCAGCGCTTCTGACGCTGCTCGGTACGGCGATAGTGCTCGTTGCCGCCGTCGAGGATGATGTCGCCTTTCTGCAGGCTGTCCTGGATCTTGTCGAGGACGGAGTCGGCCGGGTCGCCGTGGGTGATGGAAAAGATGAAAAGCTTTTGGTCTTGGCCAAGACTTTGGGTGAATTGATCGACCTCGTCAAAAGCTTGTATCTTGCCTTTCCCGGTGAATTTTCCTTGGTCGATCCATTGGCGGATGCCGTCGACGTTGTCGCGGCTGACGTCCCAGATGGAGACGTCCAGACCGAGCTCGTTGAAGGCGAAGGCCATCATGGAGCCCATGTTGCCGGCCCCGACAATGCCGATTTTGGAGAACATGATGGCGATAGTAATGAATTAATTGTAGCTTTTGTTGGACTCTACATGACTGCGATGCTGGTTTTTTAAGTGGTGAGAAGATGGGGTGGTCGACGCAGAGGTTACATCATTCCGACATTCGGATCTGATCAGCCCTAATGAGTTAATTTAACTGACATCATCCTGATTGTATAAACCTGTAGATATATTTAATAACCCCCAATTATCTGATCCTGATTTCAATATTGCTTACTGAGTTTAACATAAGAAGATATGGCACACGATATCCCTTTCTCATTTGCGACCTGTTCGATCGGCAAGCCCACCGACAGCCTCCCGGCAAAGCTGGAGGCACTGTCTGAAGCGGGCTTCCATGCGGTGGAGCTCGCCTTTCCGGATATTCTATCCTATGCAAAGGAGATTCGAGGGGAAGAGGTAGCCGAAGATGACTATGAGGCGCTGCGGGAGGTGGCCAAGGAGATTCGAGGAGTCTGTGATCGGTTGGACGTGAAGGTGATGATGTTGCAGCCCTTTGCCAATTTCGAGGGATGGCCCGAGGGGTCGGCGGAGCGAGAAGATGCATTCAAGCGGGCGAGGGGGTGGATTAGTTTGATGGAGGTGCTGGGGTGTGACATGTTGCAGGTATGCTGCCATTGTACTACACACAACTTATGCACAGAGCTCCTTCCCTCATCCCCATACATCGATACCCTCTCAACTCCCACTCCCACTTACAACTAACGAAACCCCCCAGGTCGGATCAACAGACACCCCCCTCTCCTCCCTCTCCACCACCCCGAGCCTGCACGAGCACATAATCCACGACCTCCGCCAACTCAGCGACCTCCTCGCCACCCACAACATGCGCCTCGCCTACGAAAACTGGTGCTGGTCCAGCCACAGCCCGGACTGGGCCTCCGTCTACCACCTCATCCAAGCCGTCGACCGACCGAACATCGGCCTCTGCCTCGACACCTTCCAGACCGCGGGGGCCGAGTACGCCGACCCCACCGCGCCGGACGGCCTGGTCCCCACCACCGACGGCAAGGCCAATCTCTCCACCCCCCAAAAGTTCTCGGCGAGTTTGGCGCGCCTCGCCAAGACCATCCCCGCCGACAAGATCTACCTGCTGCAGGTGTCGGACGCGTACCGGGCGGATCCACCCTTGGAGGATAAAGTGGTGGAGGGGATGCGGCCCCGCGCGCGCTGGAGTCATGACTATCGGCCGTTGCCGTATACGGAGGGCGGGTATTTGCCGATCGAGGAGGTGGGGAGGGCGGTGTTGGGGACGGGGTTCAGGGGGTGGTTCTCGATGGAGGTTTTTGATGGGAAGAGGAGGGAGGTGGATCTGAAAGGGTATGCGAGGGAGGGGATGAAGAGCATGACGCGGTTTGTGGAGAGGTGTTCTTCCTGAGGGACTTTGGACTTTGGATTTCAAGATGGGGAGTTCGGGGAGGATTCCCTGGTATGAATCTGTATGTATAGTAAACGGGATTGTGAAGACAAGACAACTACGCGAGGTTTACTTGCACACGTAATAAGGTGGAACATGGATATATTTTACCGAACGCCTGAACTATGCAACCTATACCGGACATGGAACATATACAACAATCATCGTAGCGTCATTAAGCGTTGCTGGGGTAGGCAACCTTGTAGGTGGGAACGAACTCCTCCTTGATCGACCGCAGACTCACGAACCGAGACAGCAGGTTGCCGCTGCCCGCCTTGTCGTTGGTACCACTGGCACGCGCACCGCCGAAGGGCTGCTGGCCCACAACAGCACCAGTGCTCTTGCAGTTGATGTAGAAGTTACCCGCGGTGTTGCGCAGAGCATCGTCGGCCGCACGCAGGACCTCGCGGTCCTGGGCGAAGATAGATCCGGTCAGCGCGTACTCGCCGGTCTGGTCGATCTTCTCGCACATGCGGGTGAAGTCCGCCTCGGTCTTGTCGGCGTAGGTGTGGATCACGAGCACGGGTCCGAACAGCTCGCGAGACAGCAGAGGGTGGTCGGGGTTGGAAGTGCGGTAGACGGTGGGTTGGATGTACCAGCCCTTGGACGAGTCGTAGGTGCCACCGGCCAGCAGCTCCAGCTCGGGGTCGTTCTTGGCCTCGTCGATCACCTGCGCCAGCTTGTTGAACGACGCCTCGTGGATGACAGGGCCGCAGAAGTTGGTGAAGGTGGTGGGCTCGCCCATGGTCAAAGCCTTGGTCTCGGCAGCCACAATCGAGAGGAACTCATCGGCGACGGACTCGGCGACATAGGCACGGGAAGTGGCACTGCACTTCTGGCCCTGGAACTCGAAAGCACCACGGACGGTCTGCACAGCGGCGTTGCGCACGTCGGCCGACTTGTGGACCAGGTGGAAGTTCTTACCACCGGTCTCACCAACAATGCGGGGGTAGCTGCGGTACTTGCCCTCGGCGACACCGTTGGCGATCTGGCCGTACAGGCTGCGGAAGACCGAGGTGCTACCGGTGAAGTGAAGAGCAGAGAACTCGCGGTGGTTGAGGACAGTGTTGGTCACCTCGGCGGCGTCTCCCGGAACGAACTGGATGACGTTCTTGGGCAGACCAGCCTCAAGGAGGATCTGGTGGACGAGCCAGTTGGAGGCGATGGCCGAAGGAGACGGCTTCCAGACAACGACGTTACCCATCAGGGCGGGGGCACCAGCAAGGTTACCGCCAATGGCAGTGAAGTTGAAGGGACTGATAGCATAGACGAAACCCTCAAGAGGGCGGTACTCAACGCGGCTGCAACAACTGATTAGTTTGACCCTTAGCAGCAGATTCAGACGATTGACTCACTTCCAGACACCAGGGGAGTGGTGGACGGGCTGGGTGGCGTAGAGCTCCTCGGCGTACTTGACACCGAACCGAAAGAAATCGCACAGCTCGGCAGCGGCGTCAATCTCGGCCTGCCAAGCATTCTTGCCCTGACCGTGCATAGTCAGAGCCATGATGTCGTAGCGGTATTTGGTAGAGATCAAGTCAGCAGCCTTGAGAAAGATGCTGGCGCGGTCGGCAAAGGAAGTGGTGGACCAGGTCTTGCGGGCTTCGAGGGCGGCGTCAATAGCGGCCTGGACATCGGCCACGGAGGCATTGGCGTAAGTGGCCACGGGGGCGTGGGAGGCAGGGTTGCTCTGGGTCAAAGTCTCGGAGCTCTGGATCTCCTTGCCGGCAATGACCAAGGGCACGTTGAGAGGGCCGCTCTGCTTGGTGCGGGCGAGAGCTTCCTCGAGAGCCTTACGATCGGGGGATCCAGGGGCATAGTGTTTCTATTTGATGAAAGATCAGCCAGAGCAACACCGACCAATTGCCGCCAATACTCACGTTAGGCTCGTTGTCAATGCGAGGAACCTTGAAGGTGGCGTAGGAGCCCATGGCGCGAGAGCTCTGGCGAGCCACGCTGGCGGAGAGGGAAGCGCATTTGGGGAGACCCCGGGCGCGAAGGAGCAACGAAGACTGCATGATGACAAGCTCTCTTTCGCGATGAAGCAAGACGACACAACACAAAAAAAAGGAGAGAGAGAGAGGAGAAAGAGGAGAGCAACGCAGTGGTGACGCGGGGAAACACGAAGCTTTAATTGAAAGCGAGCAGGCGAGGACAAGCGGTTACTGCCGGTGGGCTGACTCAGCACCAGCCAATGGGAAATGCAGCCGATGCAAGGGGGTTTTCGACCGGAACGAGACTGATTCCTGCCCGGGGAGTCAGTTCCAGTTCTCAATCAGTATCAACGGTTGGAAGTGCGTGGTAAATCGGGTTCAGATTGTCTGTGTGCGTAAGAGATTGATACGTTATCAGACCCAGTGCCATCGCAAGCTATCAGGGATACCGGCACATGCCGGGTGGGTCAAAGCTACCGGCCCGGTCACTCGCCTTCCAGAACCGCCCCAGATATCGTTTCCAACGTGCATTTTCACATAGCGACGAAAGCAATTAAGATGAAATGTCACTTGACTAACAGAAACTACTTTGGTTCATGACATTGATCCGTAGCTTGAATCTTAAAGTCAGTCTTGAAAACGTCTTTGAATTGCCTAAGTTCATTTCCCCAGATCTCCGGTGGGTCTTCCCCCGCATAAAGCGATAAGGATACGACAAACCCTTCGAGCCCGATAAGACCACAGCGTCAGAACACGCCATCAATCAACACTGCATGTCCGTCTCATAGTGGTAGAGTAGCGAAAGCACAAACCAGTCATCTCATCTTGCACAGTGTTACCCAGCATGACTACAAGTCCATCCTGGAAACAGTCAACCATCCTGTACCATGCAGACGGACGCCACGAAACGAAATCCCACTCAAGGATCGCGACGAAGGCCGTTCCTCGCCATCCGTCGAGCATCTGGATTAAGTCGCCGTGACACAAACCAGAAATCCACCGCCGTTCCCTCGTTCTCAAGCTGCGCGATCAACTCTCCGATCTCAAGATAGAACCCGGCACAAGGCACATCTCCTCCATTGTTGGTCCGCCACCCATTTGTGATCCAGTGAGGCATGTACTCTGTAATTCCACTCACCACTCGCTCCGAGTCTGACTTCACCACCAGCCGTTGCACCGGCGTGCAGCTGGGACGTTCCTGGCGGATGCGGAGACCGTCACGCAAGGCCCGACAACAGGCGCTGAGCTCGGACATAATCCTGGTGCGTGGGCCCGGGTACGAGTCTAATGCAGTCGAGACGTTGTTCGCATTGCCATATCCCCAGAATACACCCACAGATGCGCGGCCGGTCGCATGGTTTCTCAGGCAGTCGCCGCTGATGGCGACCACCAAGGTGGTGCGGTCCGGGGCGCGGCCAGTGCGTGGACCACCGGGGCTAGCGATATGCACCCAGCGTCCAGACTTGTATTCGATGCGACTGACGCCATTGTTGTACAAGGCTTGGTGGTCAAGACGTCGGGGGAGAACAGGCTCGTCGATTTCGACCATGGCGTCGCAGTCTTCTTTCTTCCGAGGTTAAAGTAAAGCAAGGCCTGGTAAATTCGTGCTTTGAGAACGTGTGACGAAAATTGGTGTAGTGCTAGAGCCACGATCGAGATCCTATATTTACAACCAATTTGTCAATTGAGCTACCTTGGCTGATGGACTTGGAGTCAGACCGCGAAGAGAGGCGAGGTGGCTGGTGATATGTGGCATGCGTCGAGACAGAGCTTCAGCACCGAAAATTAGGACGAGCAGCGGTGCCTCTTCAGTTGATAGAGTGTCAAAACGAAAAGGTTGTGGATGAGAAGTACAAAGGTGTAAGACGCGAGGTAGGAAAACGCGAGATGGGAAGCGTTGGCAAAACAAAACAGGAAAGAGGGGGCAGACACAGCGTTTGGTGAATGTATCATGAATGCCGGTTGGCTCCAACTGGAATAGCCATCATCAATGTCCTTTGTCTCAACATTTCAAAGAACAAGTATCTCTAATTCTCAACATTATATACAAGATCAGATTTACAGCAACTCATTCTGCCCGCAGAAGAATTACTTAGCAGTTTCACTCTCCCACATTCCGACATGTTCCTCACGCAATCCACCACCAGACCCGCTCCAGCCAGTTGCGCGGCTTGCGCTCCAAGTCGTTCTCACAGAGTTGATCTATCTCGTCCTTGCCGGTGAACACATCGACCTCCGACACCTTTGTCATCCACGGAGTCCGATACCACAGCTTGTGACCTACGTAGAAGACCAGGAAGAAGACAATGCCAATGTAAGAGACCAGGAAATCCGCCGCTGAGAAGTTACCCGGGAAGAAGACAGCATAACCATTGGTGAGGGTCAGCAAGGTCACCATGAAGATCACATAGTATGTACCGTAAGGCTGAAGGGTAGTCTTGAACGGCAGTGAATCAAGCATGCCATGGAAGTCCATCGCCTTGCGAAAACGCTGCATTTACGTTAGCACAGATCCGGTCAAATGTTCGTCGCGATTGTAAAGAGCTTACCAAGTACGCAATGCCAACTAAGATCCAGCTGATGAAGCCACCGACAGTGGTAAGATTGGTGAACCAGTAGAAGACGTTTGCACCTGAGTTAGATAGATTGAGGAACGACAACAGCCCCACAGCCCAAGTAGCTAGGACAGCCACCCATGGTACTCCGTTCTTATTGCAGCGGGTAAACACTTGGGGTGCCTGGCCCCCGCAAGCGAGCGAGTATAGTGTTCTGGACCCAGCGAAAACCCAGGCATTGCCGGATGACCAGGCAGAAGTCAGGATGGCTGCGTTGATGACATGATTCAAGCCCGAGATTCCTGCATTCTGAATGGCAATCACAAACGGACTTGCACTGGCAGTGGAGCTGCCGCTGGCCACGGCTGACAGGAGATCTGGATCATTGTAGGCCACAGTAACACCAATGACCAAAGAGCCCAGGACATAAAAGGTAAAGATCCGATAGATGAAACGATTGGTGGCCTTGGGGATGTTGCGACGAGGGGCTTCAACCTCGCCCGCAGCCGTGGTGATCAACTCGGGAGAGAAGATGAATGAGAAACCAGACTTGATGAACGCAGTCCAGAAAGCCAAGAAGCGACCGGTATTTCCGTTGACTAAGTACGGCTTGAAAGCGCCTGGGTGCTGCCAGTAGCGGAAGCCCAACCGATCATGGTTGGGACCCCCTCCAAAGAAAAGGACAATCCCCAAGATAATGAGCCCAATGATGGCGATGATTTTGAGAGCGGCAAACCAAAACTCGGCTTCTCCATACCAAGAGACAGCAACAATATTGAGGAGCAAAATGACTGAGCAACTGTTAGACGAGGAAGTCAACTCTAATAGTAAGGGCGAGGACTATACCAATGAGAACGATTGCAATCCATACGCCCACGTTGACTGAAGTGGTCCAGTATTCTATGATGATACCCGCCGCCGTGACCTCACTTGCCAGTAACATAGCAAATGAATACCTGCAATCAACCATGAATACCATGTACGAAGAAACAAAGATGATAATCGATCTTACCAATAGTTATAGCCTGAAATCAGTTAGCACTCGCTCACCCAACTAGTCCGGCAGTTTGGGGTAAAGTAGGACATACCAGCAGCAAAGCCGAGACTAGGCTCAGTATAGCGGCCAATGATGTATGGCACGGAGATCCCCTTGATGGGAAGATAGGTGGTCATTTCACCCAGCATGTTCATCACGAACCAAACAACTGACGACATGGCCAAGTATCCCATAAAAAGCGGTGCTGGACCGACCGTGGAAAGAGTCGAGCCTGACCCGACGAAGAGACCGGTTCCAATACATCCACCGATGGCGATCAGTTGCAGCTGGCGGGACGAGAGTCCCCGATGGGTCTCCGTGTTGGGACCCAGGTGGACCTCTCCCTTGAGTGCCTCTGGATCCTCATAGTTGTCGACGTTCGGAGATTTGTCTTCATATTTGACCTCCTCAGAAAACTTGGAGGTAGGAGCGGAGGCCATGATGTGCTAGCCAGGAAGACAGGAAGATCGACTTGAATGCCTTGAAGACCAAATGCCTGGTGACTAGGGCCATTTTATAAGATGGCTGCTGAAGCGCGGGAGGGGGGGGAGCACGACATCCCCAGAAGGTAATTCTGGCCGCGCTTATCAGTATCAATTATCATCTATGATAATTTTACCTCAAAGTTTAAGCCAGAAATCGCCTGCATGAAGCCCCTAGGGAAGTGGCGATTGGCCTAGATGTGGTCGGGGTGAGCGGTTTGTGTGGGGATAGGCACCTTATCTCCCTGGGTTGCTCTTTTGCTATACGAATGAGAAGGCAAAAGAGTTTGGGTGGGAGGGATCAAACCCAGTTCCTGCTTATCTCTCTCGGGGCGGAGACGGGCTGATGCAATCATGGCGCGCGATAATCAGCCACTATGCTCGGGCTGATTTATCTGATCTATACTGAGTACTGAAGTCTATAACAAGGCAGGAGATATTGTGCATGTATAAAGATTTCTATGAATGATCTTCGCGGCAGCGATCAATTGATGTCAGATCAGCCTCGTGGCATTCCACTGTGGAAATCCGGGGTCGAAACTCCGCATTATTGAATCCACCTCATGGTACGGTAGTGAAGTAGTTTATTGTCAACGAGGAGTTTATGTTACCTAATGGCTTGGAGAAACAGTCCCTGGCCTGCCGAAGCTTGACCCATTGTTGATATTCCGCTAGACTGGATCGGGCCTAGATTGCAGCCCTCCGGGCCGATGGTCGAACTCTCACATCTCGTTGCCTGAGATTTCAGGAGAACCGGCTGTGGCAAGCCGGCTCTTAACTTACATCCTACAGATGAAGTTACAACTGCAGCACTACCCCTTCTCTCTTGAGAGCTGTATATTCTCCTATATGACATGGAATACGCAATAGGCATATATTTTTCATATTATACAGCAGACCTTTTCACGCACTTTCTTCTCTCTCTCTCTCTCTTGAAGAGATGCTGGCATACCAACGAGTGTCATCTCTCGTTTGACCGGCCCGGTCAACCTGCTGTTGCTGCGCAGGTGGGGCTTCCGACCACCGGCCCGTCGACCGGGCAATAGCCTGGATACTGATACTTGATGCTGCAGTTTCCTGAATGGTGCTTGTGTTGACTATAGAGCCTCACAAAAGGGGCCAGTCACCAATGTGTCTGCGGTGTTTCAAAGATAAGAATGATAGTCGTGGGGATCCTGGGATCCTAGGTTCCTAGCTATCTTAAGTTTGGTGGAACAGGGAAAGCCTGGTAGAATCTCGAATCCCTCAGAGATTCGCCTCCCTCGTCGCTTTCTGCCACAATTTGACTTTCTCGGGGGTTTTCCCCGGTGGCAATTGTTGTAGTCGCTCTACCCCAGAAAGTTAAGCTGTTGGTATCGACCGGATTGAGAGATGTATACGACCAATATAGAAGGGGGGGTTGCGGAGAGTCACGAGACAACGTATAGATGATTAAGGGACTAGAAAGTACAGTAGCTAATGCCAGGCATCTCGCCGAAACTAAAGATAGCACCTTCACTCGAAGTGCATCTGCTAGTATATACATGGGGGAAAGACTAAAAATGAGCCTTCAGGTTAAACAATCTAGCGGATTATCGAGAGTGAGCTACTCGTACTAAGTAGTCTAGTAGTTGGTGTCGGCGTTAACTTACCCCGCGTTATCTGGGATGTCACCAAGACCGCCGCGGAAGGCACCTCCGATGCATCAACTCCCAACCACTGACCAGCGCCTCCGACGTCGCTCACCTTTGCTAGCTGATCCCTAGCTCTTTAGACAGGTGAACAGCCAGGAAAAGCCCGGATCTTGTATTCTGCTATATACTTCCGTTCAGTCTGGGTATGGTTACTCGACAACATATTTGCATTCATACCTCCTCGAATCCCTTCTCAAGACCAACAAATTCGCCGTCATCACTCCATTTCTCAATGCGTATCCTCGCTGAACCCGATGTTTCTCAGATCCTGCGCGAATTAAACCAGTCGCAATGCCACGACTTACTCAACGCTCTTTGCGACTCTCTCACCGCAGTCTCCAATGAATCGACTGCTCCAGAGACGGAACGCCTTATTCACCAGCCCCTTCGTAGCACCATCCTCACGAAGAAACAAAACCTCTCTCTTTTCATGCCCGTCTCCAACACCGCCAGCACGGGTATCAAGATTGTTACTTCCTCTCAGTCTCATGGTCTCATCGGAGTCATCAACATCTTCTCGCCCGAAGGTAGTCTACAGGGTCTCTTGAGCGCCGCCAAAATCACCGCTTTCCGCACAGCCCTGACCATCATGTCCCTCCTCGTTCGCTGCCAGGCCATGAGTAAGGAGAATGTAGTCATTCTCGGCTCTGGTCGCCAGGCCGAATGGCATGCCCGCTTAGTTCTCCTCTTGTTCCCAGGACAAGTACGTTCGATCACCATCCTCAACCGTGGTCGCAAACGACTGGAAGAGTTGGAGACAGAGGTCTTGGGGCAATTGCGAGCTACGTATCCGGACGTTGCGATCTCAACGGTCGCAAAAGATCATGTAGGCGACGACATCTGGGAGGAGAAGCTGCGGGCGGCACTGCAGACCTGCGATGTCTTGTTCAGTTGTACGCCTGCCACAGAGCCGAATTTCCCGGCTTCATATCTACAACCGTTCCGGCAACGGTTCATCTCGCTGATCGGCTCGTATAAGCCGCATATGCGGGAGATTGATACGGAGACATTGCTCTCGGGCGGTGGGAAAGTCTACGTGGACTTGAAGGAGGCGTGTTTGGAGGAGTCGGGCGAGTTGATTCTAGCCGAGATGAAGGAAGAGCAGTTGATTGAAGTTGGTGAGTTGTATGGGAAGTTAGGTAGAGGAGTGCCGGTGGAGGTACCCCAGGGCTGCAATGTGGTATTAAAATGTGTGGGCATGGGGATAATGGATCTGGTCATCGGAAACAAGCTGTTGGATGTTGGACGGGAGAGGGGAATTGGCATGGAAGTAGATGGCTTTTGAAGCGATGGCGTGTTGACGGTGGAATTAGATATTGCCAGTGACCAAATGACTGACTTGATCGTAATCAATCAGTTACTTGCAGACAATTCAACCCTTCTGTTTTGATAAAAGAACTGATTGGTGTAGAATTGTACTTATAGCTATGGCATGGAGTACAGTGCAAGATCATGCTTGTGTTGATCATGGCCGGAGGTGACTGCTGGCTGGTTAGCCAGACTAACGCTGGGGGCGGAGCCAAACCCGCACCCACGGCTTATCAGTTCGACTTCTGGTTCCTTTCCCTCTCCTCACCCCCCCCCTTGGAGAGGATGGATTAAACTCCGGGCCATTTTTTCCTATCTTCCGTCAACACCGCCTTCTCTTCCTTCGAGATCATCTCCTACTTTCCTACTCTTCCTACATACATACCTCAGCTCTTACCCCCCCATTCCCCTCCGGGCTGTCGCTTTTACGCACCCCACATGTCCATGCTCTAATCCCTACCATGCGCCTGTCGCTGCATCGCCCTCCTTGATTTCGAACAGCCATGGATGAGGGCTCAACCACCCCTGCTGGTACGGGCCCGCAGAAACGACCCCGCGTTTCCGAGGAGAATCGCAAACGAGCCGTGCGAGCGTAAGACGATTATATTCTCCTGTCAGGGTCTTTGTCTCCTTACTCACATTAACCAATATCTAGCTGTGATGGTTGTCGCCGAGTGAAGGAAAAATGCGAAGGAGGCGTTCCGTGTCGCCGATGTCTCCGCTATCAGCGACAATGCGTCTTTACTCATCCAGACCATGCGGAGAAGATCGCCCGTTCCTCCTCCATCTCGTAAGGCCACCCAACCCCCTCATCTTGAGTCTCAAATCTTCGAACCTCGAATTCAATAATGGCAGAGACTAATACCGTTATTGATCTAGGCTACTCGAACGAAGCACAGCCCTAAGAGGACATGAGATCGCCGAGTCGGAGCGTGTCCGATGCATGGAGCGCATCCTCCAGCATTATGTCCCCAACATCTCCTTCGATGTCCATACTCTGCGAAAGATGGCCGAAGAGTTGAAACACAAACATCGAGGATCTGGCACAGAGGCATCTTCAACGCAGCTCGACGGCGAAGACCTGGAGGACCTGGCAATTGACGATGAGGATTTCACCATCAAGGCTCTGCCGGATAATACTACACGTGGGTGCTCTGGGATTGTGTCGGAATGTACTTGGGTGTTCTGACTCATTTTTAGAATACTCCGGAGAATTTTCGTATCTCAACTTCTCTATGAAGATTCGACAAAAGATTGACGAATGGATGAAACATGCTGGACCAGAGGTATGCAAACTAGTGGTCGCCTGTCGGCGAATTACTCGCTCACTTCTTCCCAGACATCCACAGAGACAGAGCCATTTGAAGAGCGCTGGCGGGCAACCCAATTACAGTCCGGGTCGACCCTAGTGTCAACCTCAGTGACCTGTCTTCCACCTCGGTTTGTGGCAGACTTTCTGGTGCAGATCTTCTTTAAGTATGCGCAGACGAATAATTTCTACGTCGAAGAAGACTGGTTGAAGGATAAGCTAAACATATGCTACACGGACCCATCGAGCCTCTCTTCTAAGGATGCAGGCACGGTATGTGCTATCCTAATGGTATTAGCGGTGGGTACTCAGTTCGCACACATGGAATCGGCCACACCTGTCAACCGCCTGTCCTCCAATTCTGCCTTCGCCGACGACCACCATTTCTCCGAAGATGATGTCGGCCTTACCTTTTATCAATTTGCATCGAAACTGCTTCCCGACATCATTGCCACAGCTTCCGTTCGAAGCGTCCAGGCTTGTCTTCTAATCGGTACCTATCTTCTGCCGCTAGATACGTCGGGTCTATGCTATACGTATTTTGGCCTAGCCCTGAAGATGGCCATTCAAAATGGCATGCACCGAAAGTATTCGGGAGAGGGAATGTCACCTCGTATGGTGGAGATCCGCAATCGTGTCTTCTGGACGGCATACACGATCGAGAAGTAGGTGGCCAATCCAACGTTTCAGCTGCGCGATGGTTACTGACACTCCTTAGGCGCGTCAGCATTCTCCATGGGCGACCGGTATCGCTATCCGACGCAGATGTAGATGCTCCCTTTCCAACTGACTTTCCGGGCTTGACTCCTTCTGGACATTTAGCCAATGACATAAATATGGTGACGCTCATCAAGTTGACCTTGAAACTTGGCCAAGTTGCCAACGAGATGTACGTGGCGAGGTATCCTAGGATCTTACATATAGCTAACATAGAGTCAGATCTATTCTCCGTAAATCGCGAAAGAACCAACAATCGGATTGTCTCGAACGATTACTGAACCTTCGGAAATGCTTGGTTGATTGGTGGTCAACGTTGCCGGAAGAAACTAATTGCCGGGATCTCAATCCGTCTGGTCCTCTCTTTCGCTCCAATGTGCATCTCAAGCTGGATTATTGTCTGACTCGGATCTTCCTTGGACGGCCCTTCCTGTTTAGCAGCATGAAAGCCATTACGGTCCCGGGCGCCCCGGTCAAGACGCCTTCGGGTCTATCGAAGAATCGCTCCACACTAGTCACTGACTGCGTGGAAGCAGCGCTTGAGATCATCGACCTATGCCGTTTGCTGCGGGATGAGCCTGGTCTCGCCCGTGCTTCATTCACTGAGTTCAGTTCCTGCCGTGCTGCTCTTCTTGTCATTCTTGCGCAGAGCTTGACCAAACGCACAGAGCGGTTGCGTGAGGCCCTCGATAAAGGCATGGCCCTCATCAAGATTATGTCGATGGGTGTCGGATCTGCCCGATCCGCTGTGAGTGTCATTGAAACACTTGAGCGGGCAATTCGTCGCTTTGAGGAGTACAGTCAGACGCAACCCCAAGGCACTGCTGGCATGATGGAGTCGGCCTATGACCGCTTCAAGAACTGGGAAATGCTTTGGAAGACGGGACCAATTTCTCCCGACCCAATATCGTTCCCTGAGCAGTACCCATCCGGTGGTGGTGGACTGCCGCCTGTGATGACACCTATGACAGGTCCACCACCAATGAATGAACCGGCAGAAGGGGAGCTTGCCAACCCCAGTATCCCTGACTCGACCGAGTTCTCTGTGTCTCATCCGCTGTCGGAGATGCCGCACTTCGGGCTTGATCATTTCGTTGCAAACTTGCCACAGGAATTGGGCGAATTCACCGCGATTCCGTGCTTCGAGACCGACAATCAGTCCAGCTTGACCGGGGAGTTGAAACCTGGGTCTTCCGACACGCGGTGGATGAATTTTATGAATGAATAGTGTTACCGACAACTGGCCGGTCTTTTGTGATTTTGACAGCGCTGCATTATTGGGGTCCTTGCTTGGCGGTTGTACTGCCATGAATCTGTTTTAAGATACCTAGATCGTGTATATTCACTGGTCCGTCTAGACACTTCGTCTACATAACATATATCAGAAGGTCCATCCTAGATGGTTGCAAATGGCTAGAATTCAAGCTGAAATATATACATGCTAAGACTGGGATATCTAATCGAACACAACCTTCTTACCCGCGAACGAAGCCGTAGCCTTCTGTTCCTTGGCCTTCTTTGCTGCCTCCCAGGATGGATGCAAGGGCTTATCATCCTGTGGCTTCTTGGGGGGTGCTCGCTGAGGCCGACCACCATCGTGCTGCGGCCGGCCGGACGCGGAACCTGCACCATGACCGAACCTCCCTCTGCCAATGGGAGTAGAATTGCCGTCTGTCGCTCCCTTTCGCGGATCCCAACCACCATCTCTCCCTTTCCGGCCTTTCTGTTGTTGCTGCTTGACATGGTTTGCTCCCGCACCATATTTCTTCTCCCACAGCGCCCGACGCGCCTGTTGACCCATCCGGTTCTTGCGTCGGGGTGGTTCAGCGGCTTCTTTGTCGACATCCTCGGCTTCAGACTCGGACCCCGACCAGTATCCGCCCATCATGAGGGAGGGCAAGAAGGTAGTGCTGGTCGCGGGCTTTGCGGTGCCTTTTTGGGCTGGTTTGGCCTTCTTTGAGGGGGGCGAATCGGATTCTTCTTCCTCGTCTACCTCCGGGGAGGGAGAGCGCGAGATTGACATATCAGAGGGGGGTCTTCGCTGTAACATGCGAGTATCAATGTCGTCCTCGTCCTCGTCCTCCTCATCGTCCTCATCGTGATCGTCACCGTCGCCAAGCATCTGCCGCCGGGTCTCGCCCGCGTCGTCCGCGTCTTCATCTTCAGAGCCCGACGCGAGTAACCCATCGTACATTGCGTAGTCAACGCTCTCCGAATCGTCCATACTGACATCTCCGTCGCCCTCCCCATTCGCGCGCTGCGCTCGTGACCGGCCCTCCTCTACCTCGCTATCCGAAACCTCGTCCGCAGCAATCGTTTCCCTCGGCTTCTCATCCTTCTTTGTCTTCTTCTTCTCAGCCGTCGCCTTCGCCGGCGCAGGCTTCGCCTCATCGATCTTCAACAACGACCGGATCCCGTCCATAATCCCCGGGAACACATTCTTGACCGGCGTCGACTTGTACAAGCGGGCCGTTACGTTGGCCTCGAAATTACTCTTCGGTCCCTCCGCCGACAACTTGCTGCCCATGTGTTCCTGGAACTCCTTGAAAGTCGGCGACTCGGCGATCCGTTTCGTTTTGACGAGTTGTTTGTAGAGGTATTTCTGCGCTGTTTTAACGGGGTCCAGGTCCTATGTGTAAAAAAGTTTTACAACATTAGCATCGCAGACAAAACAACAAAACACCATCGCGGAAAGAGAGTCCACAACAAAGACCAAGATTCCCCGCCCAGCATGGAGAAACGGAACGACAGCAGCAGCAGGAATAGTACATACCCTCAGAATCCCCGCCTCCTCAGCCATCCTCTCCACCGCGCCCTCCTTCCCCTCCTCCTTGACCTTCTTCTCCCGCCGCTTCCACTTCTGGCGCTCGAACCCGCGCGCCAGCTTCAGCGCCTTGGCCAGCGACTCGACGCCCTGGGAGAATTTCTGCTTGAGCCGGACAGTCTGGATGTGCAGGGAGCGGGCGTCGGATTTATCGGTGGAGACATTATTGTCCGTTAGGTCGGAGAGTTTGCGTTTGGGCATTTTTTTTTTGGTTGTGAATATCGTTTTCAAGAAAGAGTAAAGGTTGTATGTTGGTGTTTGGTTCAAGATTAAGGAAGTTTTTTTGGGGATGCGGGATTGCGGCTGGAATAATTGTAACTGCTAATTTACATTTCTGCCAAGGCGGAGGAGGGATTTTTGGGAACGTGAACGGTGAAGAAGGCGGAGCGGGATTTGGGGGAATGGGATTGGTTGATGGGGAGATGACTTTAGCGGGGCGGTTATTGGTGGGCTTTTTTGAGGTTTTTGATGGACCTGCCCGGGCCTCGACGGTTTCCTTAGGGTTGACGTAGTTTGGAATGGCATTGATATTGGACTTGTGTCGTTGTTTTTCTGTTTCATTGGGTGTAGCTGCGTTCGCTTCATAAATGTCAGGTCGGAAACTGGAGGAGACAGATTACAATGGCAGTATTTAAAGGAAAGACGGTTATTCGAACTACATCGAACGGTGGTCGAACATCAACGTCACAAATAATTCAGGCATAGACGCGATATGTACATACAGAACAAATTAAGAAAGAAAAAAAGAAAAACCATCTAAGCTAAGCCTCCTATTTCTTTTCCTCCTCCTTGGGGGGCTCCGGCTTGGGAGTAGGGAGTTTGAACTATCAGCATGTTAGTGGGTTCCTGATTTGTATTGCTTCATCGCCGGAAAAACGTACCGACTCAGGAGTCCGGTTGGTACCCGGACCAACAGGCTCCCAGGCGGTGGTGCCACCCTCGAAGTTCCGGAAGGCCTGTGTCAACTCGAGCGGCTCGATGACGATCCGCTTCTTCTCCTCGTCCCAGCGCAGCTCCGTGTATCCGGTCAAGGGGAAGTCCTTGCGCAGCGGGTGGCCGTCGAAGCCGTAGTCGGTCATGATGCGGCGGAGATCCGGGTGGCCGGTGAAGAAGACGCCGAACATGTCGTACACCTCGCGCTCGTACCAGAGGGCGCCCTCGAACAGGCCCGTCACGCTGGGCACGGGGCTGGCCTCGTCGGCATAGGTCTTGACGCGGATGCGCGAGTTGTAGCGCACACTGAGCATGTTGTAGACGACCTCGAAGCGCTGGTCGCGGGTCGGGAAGTCGACGCCCGTGATGTCCGAGATCTGGGTGTACTCGGCCGCCGTGTGGTATTTCAGGAAGGTCATCGTCGGGATCAGGCCGGAGGGCGGCACGTAGATGCACAGCTCGTCCTTCCACACCGAGAACTGCTGCACGTGCTTCGGCAGGCACGACATGATGTACTGCCCGTACTTGTGCAGGCCCTCCGCCTTGTCCTGGTGCTTGTCGGCCGGGTTGACGACGGGGGCGCGCAGAGCTCCCTCAGCTGGTTTGAGTAGATTCACGGGTTAGTTTGGGGGTGTGGTAACATGAAAGTGCCCGTTGTGAAGGGCGCGGTGGTCGCGGATGGAAGGGCCAGGAGTGCAATTGATGGACATACGAGAGCGCTGGGCGTGGCGCATGTTGGGGACATGATCGGTGACCGGGGTCGACGAGGCCTTCAAGACAGTCGAGGAGAAAGCACGGGCGGACGACCGGGTGGCGGAGGACAAGGCACGACCGGTGCCCAGCCGCATCAGGGAGCGAGTAGCAGCCATGACGACAAGGAACAATGGCTGAGAGGTGATGAGTTGGAGGATGAGAAGTGGGCGGAGACGAGGGGGGGGGGTCAAGCAGCAGCAACGGCGGCGGAGGTTCCCTTGCAATTGGAGCTTTTGCCCCAAGATGTGCACGGTCACGTGCATCGAGCATTGACATAAGCGGCCGATCCGGAGGAATTTCCCTGCAGCCTCAGGCAGAACGGAGGTGCAAACACGGCAAACACGTGCAAACCCGATCAAGCAAAGCTTCACTTCTCGCTATTCTCTGTTCGCCTCCAACTCTCCTCTTTCGCTCTTGCGTCGTGCGTCCCTCCTCCTCCTCCTGCTGCTGCTGCTTCGCTTGCTTCTCCTTCCCTCCCTACAGCCCGCCCCAATTACCCCACGTTTCTATAATCACTTTTTTGGACTCGGTCCTGCCTTTTCTTAAAACCTCTCTTTCCTCTTGGGCGCTCATTTACTTGCCTCTTCTGCTCCCTTTTCTCTTTGACTCTCCATCCTCTCTCACTTCCCCCCCCTCCTCCCTCCCCTTCCGCCCCGGTTCGGTTGATGGGTGTTAGTCTTTACTTGTGATCGTCGTCCCCGATTTCACTTGTACATCTCACAGTCTCCCTTCGACACTACATCATGTCAAGTCGTCAACAGATTGATTCCGTCATCGACGATGATGACGAGTTCTGGTACGTGTGGCCTTGCGCCGTCGGGTGCTCGAATTCTCGGGCTGACAACCTTGACTTCTTCTAGCCCTCTCTGTATCGAAGAGTTCGATCTGTCGGATAAGAACTTCAAACCTTGTCCCTGTGGATATCAGGTACGTCTTTCGCTCTCCTACGTGTCCGCCCTTGCCCGAGTCAATCAGCTTTCTTCGCGTCTGGCTCCACCGAACACCCCGTCTCAAATCTAACTCGTATACATTCGCAGATCTGTCAATTCTGTTACAACAACATCAAGACCCACAGTGAGGAAGGACGTTGCCCCAACTGCAGACGTGTCTACGATGAAAGTACTATCCAATACAAGGTTCCTGATGCCGACGAGTAAGTCGCTCCCGCCGCAAGTTGATTTGCACCAATCCTCGGACCGGTCTTGGCATTAACCGGTTTTGTTCCGCAATTTTTTAGATTCAAGGCAGATCTCGCCCTCAAACATCGCAAAGCCGCCGCTGCGAAAAAGAAGGAGGCCGAGAAACGCGAGATCGAAGCCTCCAGTCGGAAGAACCTGGCCGGCGTCAGAGTCGTGCAGAAGAATCTCGTCTACGTGATCGGTCTCAACCCCACAATACGGGACGAGAGTCAGCTTCTGCAGACGCTGCGCGGCAGAGACTATTTCGGTCAATATGGTGATATCGAGAAGATCGTCGTCAGCAAGGCAAAGCCTGGTGGCAATCCGAACCAGGGTATCGGCGTTTACGTGACGTACGCGAGAAAGCAGGATGCCGCAACCTGCATAGCGGCGGTTGATGGGTCGGCTAATGGTGACCGGGTGTTACGGTAGGTGGATTCTCCGCGCTTCTCACTGGGCGCGTTGCGACCGGCACTCGGGAAACTAACAGTAGCAGGGCGCAATACGGAACCACGAAATATTGCTCGTCCTTCCTCCGCAACGAACAATGCCACAACCGAAACTGTACCTTCCTGCACGAAACTGGGGAGGATAGCGATAGTTACAGCCGTCAGGATCTCTCGTCCATGAATACCCTGTCAAGCCAACGGCCTAACGGTGCTCCTACTGCTCCCGCCTACGCCATCCCTCCGCACGTTACTCGAACCTCTGCTCAACCTTTGTCGCAACCGATGCGTCGTCAACCTAGTCGGGACGATGCAGCCGGCAGTCGGGTCCCCGATGGCCCCGCTCTTCCCTCGTCGGCTAGTTGGGCAAACAAGGACGCTGTTCTGAGTCGTGCTAGACGGGCTAGTCTCACAGGCAGTCAAGCCTCACAGAGCCCTCGGCCTGCCACTGCTACGGTTGCGCCTGTTCAGGAAGAACCGAAACCCGTGGAAAAGTCGCCGCCCTCTACGCAGCAGGAGCCCGTTCAACAATCGCCCTCTCCTCCGGAGCGTAGATCCTCAACCCCGCGTTCGCTTGAGCCTTTGCAGACACCCCCACAACCCGAGACTCCACTGCTGGACAACCTTGTTAAGGCCGTAAACTCACCCGACTTCAAGTTCATCTTCTCGGCGGCTGGTCTGCCTGCGGAAGAGATTGCCTTGATTGAGAACCACCCCTCTTTCATCGACCCGTATGGTGGCGTCAAACGTCGCGCCATGCGCGAAAAAGCCGAACAAGAGCGCGCCAGACGGGAACAAGAATTGCTCCAGTCAGCGGTTGCCGAGGAAGAGAGTCGGGAGAGCGGAAGCCTGCAGCTAGGTGGTGAGCCCGACGATGTTGTTCCCCCTCGGGGTCGCAGCGGCCGCGAGTCTCACGGTGCTATTCAACCTCCCTCCCAGCAAGGCACAACCGAGAATTCCGCTGTGGGCTCTCCTGTGTCTGCCACAAGCCACCAGTTCCAACAACTCAACCAGCAACTCAACTTGGCCGGTCGCAGCTTGACACCCCAACAACAACACCAGCTACTCATTCTGAAGTCTGCCAACGACCGCGCTGCCATGGACCAGCTTCAGGGCGGTCTCAGCTCCGCTGCTTTGGATCAAGCTGCCCAGGTTCGCCAGGGTCTTCTCCAGAGTCAGATGGCGCAGTTGAATTCGCTTCAGGCTCAAAATCGCCAGAATTCCCGTTTCTCTTTCGCCAACGAGGTCAACTCGAAGAATCTTCCTAATGCTCGCATGCTGAGCCAACAGGCATCGTTGATGCAAACTGTTGGTACCCCTAATCCGCTCGCAGCGCCCAGTCCACAGCACGGACTCAGCGGTGGCTACTTTCCCAGTGGTGTACAGGGACCACCCCCTGGCTTGAAGACGGCTGGTACGCCTCCGATCAGCGGCGGTGGTATGTTCGCCCAAGGACACGGTTTCACCACGAACACTAGTCTCGGACTTGGAGCCAGTATCGGCAAGCAAGAAGCGAACCCCGACTTGATGCGTGAGTTGCTGCGTGGCCGCAATGGTGCCGGTGCCAGTGGTTTGCAGGGTCAAGAGGCCGCTAAGCGTGAGTTCATCCTTCCTTTCCTTCAGCAGCACCAAACCCCCCCTCCCCTGACTCCTGCCAATAATGGCCTTCTCAGCTCTTTCTATGGCTCTCAGCCGGGGACCTTCTCCGAATCTGGGCCACAGAAGCAGAAGAAGAAGGGGAAGAAGCACAGACACGCTAACACTTCCTCCGGTGGAGGTGGTGTAGTAGATCTTGCGGACCCGAGCATCCTACAGGCGAGGATGCATCAGAATGCTGCTGCTACTGCTGGGCAAGCACTGTACGGGAGTCAGGGCCAAGGTGGGTACAATCAGACCATGATGTATGGCGGCGGCTTCAACCGCTGGTGATTGTTTCCCTTCCCATTTCATCTTATCCATACGCCTTCATAATGCCCTAATTGCGTTGTCGTTCCCCCTCCCCTCCCTTCTCTTCCCGTTGCTCATGATGACTACCCTATTTCTCCGCATGTAACTCCGCCACCTCGCGTATGCCTTTTGCGCTTCTATCTCCTCCCCCGTTTTCTTTTTGTTCCTGATGACATGATATCATACTTATCTAGATGGGTCTGGGATATGATCTCTTATCTTTCTCTTATTCCTCATTGCGATGTTGCCCTTTCTCATTCGATGTTGAAACCTTTGCGACATATTCCACTTTGCAACGATGCATTAAGCAAACGGCTCTTGAAAAAACAAGGAATTCGGGCGGGGCGTGCCCTTGGCGTTATCTTTCATGGAATTCTTCGATTCTGCGTTGCTTCTATTTGACCTGTTGTATCTCTGTCTTCCTCTCGCTTATTGCTTTTGCTGTCCTCGATTCGCGCGTGCAGATATGGCGTCCTTGCACCCCATGGGCCCCTTGTGTTTTCCAGGTCCACTGCAAGTTGGCGGCTCTCGTTTACTACTGTTGTTCTTGCATCCATGCTGCGTTGACCTATCAGCAACTTGGTGGCCCAATCGGTCTGGTCATGGTTTTCATGTACGTTAACCTCCCTGCCCTGGCTTTTCATAAACACAAGCAGGGTCCTCTATCCGAAACCAATTTCTCACAACCACTGTTCATTTAGACACTATGCCTTGTGTGTCTTCCTGGCCACATCGGTTGGGGACCTTTATGTAATTAATTGCCTGCCTGCCCCTTTCGTATCTGCGCGTCGTCTCGTTCTGTCTTGGGAGAGTCTTGTCGGCATGCCCTGTCTGTTCTTATATTGCTGCTTTTGCCGTTTGGATTTCGTCGTTCTTGCTCTTGTCACCTCTACATGACACCACACCCACCCATGCATCTCTCACTTGAAGATGGCTAACCGGGCCGGTCTTTTAGTTGACGAAGAATTCCCTCCTCTGGGAGCGCCGCCAAAGGACAAGCGTCCTGTTGACAGCTTCGGATATCTTATTCGCTCTCAATTTGCTAGCGACTCGCAAAGCTCAGCTCGTGCTGGGACCCCAACGCTACCCCCCGGCCTTCCTCTTCCACACGCGCACCCCGCATCAGCCTTGTTTCAAAGTCCTTTGAATCCGTCCAGTCCAACGACTTCGGTGTCCGTGCCGCCTGGCTTGAACCCACCATTCTCTCGACTGGGGACCCCATCTCAAGCGTTTCGGGGAGACATCTCCCGACAGCCGTCGCCTGAGGTAAAGGATGCCCCTGACGATGTACCCGCTTCAAGTCGCGTCAAGAATGTGTCGGAGATCTCACTAGGCTCGCCTGTACCCAAATCCACAAGCAAAGCTCGCTCGCAAGCCAAGGGTGACCTAGCTGTTGCAACTGAAAAGAAGCCCATTGGCGCGTCCAAGCCTACCTCTGCGTTCGAGAAGGTTGTTTCCACCCCGGTAAAGTCGAAGCCTATCAAATTGGACCTTTCCCTGGGGACTCCTCAGGATGCTCCTAAAGCAGATCAATCGGTTCCTAGCACGCACGGGCCAGCCCCCATTTCCGCCATCGGCTCTCGTCCCAATACCCCGTTGACCGGTGTCTCACG